AAAGAGGAATAACACAAATGACATTAACAGTATTTTCAAAATAAACTCAGCTCTATAAAGTTTTCCTCAAATATGTTTTTATTGGCTTCTCCTCTGCCTGAAGCCAGGACCGCTAACGCTCAGGATATTCCTGTAGTGCATGGGAGGACTTGCCGCAGATGCCAAATTCACATTTTTTAATAAATCCATTTAAATTTCAGGTTCTGAATTAGTGGACGCGTTCATTGTCCTCTCTTTTGGAAAACATTATTTCCTAAGAACCCAAACAGAAGAATTTTATTTCTATTTTCATTTAATAATTCAGCCACAGCCTCTTTCGAGGTTCGTTTAATGTTCTTCTGGTTCTCACTGTGGGATCTGCTCTGCCGCTGGCTTTTGCCAGGCCCAGCCATCGTCCCCTGCCTGGGCAGCGCTAGGTCTTTGCCGTAAGGCCCTCAGAAACCTGTGGAAAACAGATCGGACATGTTCTGCCCGGCTGAATGCCCTCTGTCATGCAAGATGCACCCAGCGCTCCGAATCAAGGCTTATGCTGACATGTGGCAATAACTGTGGCTGGCGGAGGCTGCCAGCTTGGCAGCGATGCCCGCGTTTCGAGCGCGAGCCTGGCACAGCCTGGGAGTCGTGTGCTCAGTCTGTCCTTGCCACCATCTGGGAGAGGAGGGCTGCATGGGTTTGGAGGCAGCATCCAGAGCTGAGGATTTTTGGAAAGCAGTAGTGGCATTTCAGTTTCTTCCCTTCTTTACCAATCTTTGCTACCCTACAACCAGCTGGCAGTTTATTTCGGAGTGCAGGGTTGCGCTCCGGTTCTCTTGCTGAACGACCAGTTCCCTGCCACTCTTGGAAACGAAGAGTAAACCCAGGAGCTGAACTGGCGGTACCAGAAGTCGCTGAGTTGCCGGCTCTGCTGAGATGTGCCACCGGAGGCAGTCTGCATTTCACTGTGTGTGCACACAGCTCCGACACACCAGTGGGAAGAAAGGGCTGCTGAGAAGTGAGGTGTGATTCTTACCTGAGCTTCAGAAACTGCCGCTCACTCTATTAACTCTTTTCATCTCACACAAAATACCGGTTTCTATTGAGACAGATCGTGTTTGTCCAAAGGGAACCCTGAAACTGTGATGCCCTCCAGGGTCGTCATTACTGATCCTGATGAAATAACGAAGCTCTGGAGAGACATTTTAACTTGAGGGTATTTTTTCCTGCATGAGAAAGTTGCTCTTTGGATGCGACAAGCTCAAAACAAATCAAAGAGGTGACGTCCTCAGCCATATTAATGACCGATGCTCGTGCAACTTGCAGAGTACCTGTGAACGCTGCTTGCGCTGCGTGCCTCCCTTGCTCCTCTGCAGCTCTCCGTCGAGCCGCAGGACATTTGGTCAGGCTCTGTCCTTCATCTCTCCCAGCAGGTAGCAGAGGGGCCAAGGGGCTTTCAGCTGAGCTCTGGCGAATTACGCAGCCTTCAAAGCAAACAGCTTTGCGAGCCGTGCCGGGTTCGGAGCCGGTCTGCGCTCTTTGCACGGGCCGCTTGGCATCAGTGGAGGAGCTCTTTTTGAAGGAAACTGGACAGGACCTTAAAACAGTTGGCTCTGGAGTGAACAGAGACCGACTCTGCTGTATCACACAGAGTGATGTCGTTGGGATACCCAGTCTTGTGAGGGAGTAAGAGTCTCGCCGGTGCTTCCGTGAGTCCGTGGCAGAGCCAGGATCATGCACAGCACCTCCTTTCTCCCAGGTCCCTTCTCTGTCCACCCTTGGCAGGCTCCCCAAGCCTCCCCTCTGGGCTGTGGGGTACACCTTGGGTGCTTGTAGCTCAAACCCTGAGAGAAGTTGGGATTCCACCTCGGTCCTAAAAGCTGGGTGGATCCTGTGTTGGTGCTTGCTCCGTTCTTTTGCAATGCTGGGGAAAACCAGTCGCAACGGCAGTCGCGTGGAGCCGTGGAGATGGCACTGGCTTACCGCTCACGGAGACTGCTGTGTGGTAACTGCAAATGGAGTCCATTACCATCTCCTCTCAGACATGCTGCTCTCTGTCCCCTGCCCCTCTCCACCTAGGACTGCCACCATTAACAGGGAGAGCAGCATCTGTGCTGCAGAGCTCGCAGCTCGCCGTGGGACAGCGGCCACCACTGCCTTGGCTGCCGGCCCGGGGGTGGCATTATTTGTTTTCAAAGCTTCCGTAAATTGAACTGTGGTTTTATGACACTGTAACCAGAGGCACTCATTGTACCAAACAAAAAAGACTTCCATTTGAGTTTAATAAACGCAGCTGATTATGCTCAATGACATTTTTGGGGGGATTTGAACTTCAAAACCTTGCCAACCTTACTGAACCGACAGCTCTTTTCAGCTGCCTGATCGATCGACCCGAGCAGTGCTGTCATCTGTCATCCTTGGGAGGTCTTTCTGTGCGGGGCTGTCGTCCTGCAGCAGGCTTAGTGATACAGGCAGCTGGCTTGTGTTTTCCAGTGAGTCAAAGCAACCATAAAATCAGGTACAACAGGGGAGAAGTCACCTAAACACGCTGATAAACCTGCCCCACTGTTTGTATTTCCTTATAACAACCATAAATATATTTGCTTTGGTTACAAGAACACTTGTCTATTCCGTTTACTTTTAAATTCCTCCTGTACTTTGTTCTGACAAGTATTCAAACAATTGTTTATTTCCCTTTAAAGTTTTTATTGTTCTGTTTTAGATGTTCCCATCCCTTCTCCAGCACAGCCAATCCAGCAGAGCAATTCAGCTTTTCAGACTGCAGATGAATTTTCCTGCTAGGTTGGCTGCACAGCTTTAAAGTGGCAAGGCAATCTGTCCGCTGTTCGTCTGCTGATGGCTCAGTACTTGGTGTCACAGTATAGCAGGGACAGAGTCCTGCCTCCTCTTACACTTCTCAGGGCTTGCATTTGTGTGGCTTTATGGAATCCTCTCCTGCGCTATCCTGGAAAGAGAAGCAAGCTTCCTTTGGAGAGATTCAGTGGTATTTGCAGACCTGCAGAAGGGGACAGCTTGTCAGGAGGTCTCAGCATCTCCTTTAGCTGCACCAGGAAAGGCTCCGCTGTTCAGAATCGCTCAGACGCGGCGTCTCTCGGTGGTCGTGGTGCTCGAGGACGAGGAATTCCCCATTGTTTTAGTGGAAGCTGCTGGATACGGCGGAGTTATGAAAATCTGGTCCTTAGGGTGGCAGGGGAAATTGTTTTCTCTGACTAATGGCCGTGTAACAGAACAGGCTGAGAAGTCCCCGAGCGCTGACCAGGGCAGGTGGATTGTAATGACTGCAGAGGTTTCAGAACGCAGCAAACCATGAGACTTCAGCAACCCCTCCCAGTACGTCCATTTCCTTCGTGTTTCTCTCCGCCTTGTCCAACGCTGTGCTCATTTCTTTCTTTAGCACCAAGCCCCCCTCCTGAGTAGTAAAAGGTTCATACTTTTTCAGAGAACAATGTACACATCTTAACAGCCAGTCCATTAGTCCTTCAATGGTTATTTTAATTAACTAATCTGTTCAAAACATCAAGAGCCTGTGGAGCCATCTGGACTGATTAAAGTCACATACTGCATTACCAACGTGCTGATTAAATCCTTCATTTTGCTCCAAGTCCTAAGTGCCTCCAAATGTTACCACTCAAAAGCTGCTTCACGCAAGTTAGGAGGTTTGGATTTTGCTCGTGCAGGAAAAGAGGCTTGCTCTAGGTTTGGGCAGAGGGGTGCTGGGAACCCTGGCTGCTGGCACAGCGAGGAAGGACGGCCCAGGCCTCAGCCGGAGCTGGCAGGGAGCGAGCAGAGGGTCCATGGCCGGGGTTCCTTGCCGAGCTCAGCAAAGAGCTTTTCCTGTCTTGCAGGAGCAGACAGCGCCTTCCTGGGCCTGGGGTGTCGGGTATTCCCTGCCGTGGGAATGCCGCAGTTACTAGCGAGATTTGGGAAAACAAGAGGCGGTGTTGCCTGAGACAGCTTCTGGCTGGGTCAGGACAGATTTAAACTGTTAGAAATAGAATTTACCGAAGATGCCAAAATATCTTACCCCTTAAACTTTGCTGAAATCTGCTGGCCAGCTGGTGAGCGTACCATCGAATAGCCTCGACTCGGCCTGACCGCACTTTTCCGCTCCACAGAAAACCCCACTTTAAATCCACCTTGTGATTCTCTGCTGCCAAGCACCTCCTCCCATTTTGGCTGTGGGCACGACAGCAGAGGGGGTCTGAAGGCTGGTCTCTGGAAAGATCTTGGCTGTCGTTACTTAAACGCTCGGCTTGCACAGGACACCTGAAACAGAGAAGGCAGATTCTGCCTTTCCAGCCTGGCAGCCATCAGCGTATGACAATAATTACCACCGCAGAGGGGGTGTTCTCTCCCTCTGGTGCCCTGACTGGAAGGGTGCATTCCAACATCCATCTCAGAAGGGTTTATCTTATCATAGAAATCACCTTACAATAAAAATGAGCGGGTTTTTTGCACATATTGTTGACTTTAATTTGCTTTATGAACCCATAACTCTCAGGCTCCCAGTTTTATACGGTGTGGAAAGATCAGTGCACCTCCCAGCTGAGAACCTTAACACGCTTGGTAGCTTTGCTGAGATTTAATGACTGTATCCTAATCTAAATAAGACAATCTTTGCTTTTACAAAGGAGGTAAGGCACAGGGAGGACACATGATTTAGCAGAGAACACGGGGTTGAACTAAGACAGCTCATCCGCTACCTGGGCATCTCTCGGCATGGCAGGTCACCTCCTTGCTTACCCTCGTGGCACCCAGGACCAGGGGTTTTGTAACTCAGCAATGTCCAAGCATTCAAACCTGCATCTGTCAGAGGACAATCAATCCAGCAGCAGTGTGTGCTGCAAAGCGGGCAGCCAGCTGGGGGTTGTTCAGTAGACAACGGCCTTTTCCAGACCTCATTCTTGCAGCCTTTCAGAGCTGAAACCAAGTCTCACAGCAAGGACTTGGTGGAGCTGGGTTCCCCGCAGCTTCCCCGCTAACAGGGCTCTTCTTGTTGCTTGCAGGTGAACGGCCACCTGGACTACATGAAGCAAATGGACATGATCCTAACAGCTGTGGGCATTAAAACCAAGGAGTGTCGGCTGGAAGAGAAGGGCAGAGGCAATCTTCTCTCCCCTCTAGCCAAGAAATCACAGCAGGCAGCAGGCAGCGAGGCTCACGAAGAGGAAAACACCGTGCGAGAGGAGGATGCGGCTGACGGTGAGGCTCTCCCAGCCAGCTGTGCTCACCACCGTGGTTCTCCTGGCTGTGCCTTGGGACAAACCTCGCTCCCCTGCCCAGACTGTTCAAACAGCAGGGACAGCAAGAAACAGGCAGCGGGCGAAGGAGCAAATTAGAGCTCTTCGTGTTGGGCAGAGATGCTCAGCCAGCACTAAAAGCGCTTCCAAAGCACCGTCCGTTGCACTGGGATTCCCAAAGGAGTGTCGGTGGAGCTGGCAGAGCTGTAGCTGCAGCTTTCAGACCCTCCTGAGAGCCTGGAGTGTGGCACTGGCATGTCACTGGATCAGAGCTTCCGGAGCAGCTGCCCACAGCATCTCCCACAGACGAGAAAGGGCTGATTCCTGCCTGACTCAGCACTGCTTCTCCAGAAGCGGCGGCGCTTCCCTCCTCGCGCAAACTGGGTTTATTCGTGAGGGAAGCAGCTGTCGCCAATAGGGACTGCGTCTCTGCCATAGGACTCTTGGGAACGCGGGTGGCTCTGTGGGTATATTGAAGCATAGCGTGGAGAGGGGCTCGTCACTAGGAAATTAAAAACATTTTTCTGCCAGTGCTCGATCTGGTTTTGTGTTTTCAGGTGAGCAGGCGTGTTGCAGGCTCTGGCTGCCCAGCTCCGTGCGTCTCAGCATCCGCGCTTCGGTTCTGCTAACCGGGGAGGCGAAAGGCTCGGGGCTACCTGGCTTCTCCCGCCCGTCTGCTGCAGGTTTGCTGCCAGGGCTTGGGCACTCTCCAGTCAACAAGACTGTTTCCCTATCTGCAGGCTGAGGGTGATGAGCGTTCGAGGCCTCATTGCTATTAGAAACATGCTTTGAGTCCCTAGGTGAAAGACAGCAGAAGAAACAGAGTGGGCTTTTTATGATTTAATACTTGGTGAAATTTCCTCCCAGGCTTTGCAAGCCAGCAACCCACAGAGACTTTCGTTCTGTGTCCCACACACATCTCCAGCCTTAAAAGCCCCCTCTAGACATGTCATTTTTAATTGGCTTAGAATAAAACCAACACTTGGCATAGGATAAACATGAATCTGTTTGATTCCTCCATAAAAACAAATTGGCATCCGCTCTCTTCTCCCCCAGTCTCAAACCGGAGGGAGGGACCCTGCTGTACATCCCCTGCCATGCAGAGTCTTCCAAACCGCATGGGACTCATCCACGTCTTCCATAAAAGGTCCTTTCCTGGCCCGTTTTGTTGCTCAGCCCAAGAAAACACATCTAGCAGGACCACGGCAGGAGGATAAACGCCCTGCTGAGAGCACCTCTGTGTTTTCCTGTTTTAGAACAAGTGCCACTTGGTATGAATGCCTTCCCACAGCCAGAGCGGGACGGGCTCGTTGGCTCACGAGGGGGGAGACAGTGTGACTGCAGCTTCCAATCTCTGCTCACACAGAGCCCTCCTCCTCCCGCCCCGTTCCACCAGCCGTGGCTCACGAGGGGGGAGACAGTGTGACTGCAGCTTCCAATCTCTGCTCACACAGAGCCCTCCTCCTCCCGCCCCGTTCCAGCAGCCGGTTCAATAACCCCCTCTCCTTCCTTTCCCCAGCTCTCTGCACACCTCACCTCCACATTATTCCTCACAAAGTCGAAATCGCGGCTGTTTCTGGGGGCGGCAGCGTAACCTGGCAGTGCACCGCAGCTTTGGGTACGGCGCCCAGCCTTTCCGCTCCCCAGTTCACGTGGCTAAGGGGGGCTCAGACGTGCTCAGCTCTGATTCTGGAGCGGTGCCTTGCTGCGGGGTGACAGGGATGGCTCTCAGACAGGCTGCGGGACCCTGGGCCTGTTTTGCCGGTTGGCACCAACGCCACTGGCTGCAGGAAAGGGATACGACTTCTCCACCGCATCAGAGGATTTGTCCACCGGCAAGCACCTCGTTACAAAGGACTGGCTCAATGAGAGGAACGTGTTATTGCTTTTGAACATTTGGCTTGAAGGCGCGGTCTCTCCGTGTCCATCCTGAAGCCCATGTCTGCTCACTTGGTTGCCTAATGGACTTTCAGAGTCCCTCGTGTATTCTTCTACTCCTTCGTAACTGGAACTGTAATCAAAGTATGTTTTTATATAAAGCTGTTTGTGAAAAGATGTACACATTTATCTTCGTGCTTGAGACCAAGCCCCAGCGATCTGTCCACAGATACGTGGCAAAAATGTACTGAGCGGTTTGATGTTTGAGCCTGCGCTCAGCCCTGCCTTTGTCCCGGACACTCAGCACTGACCGCTGCGCCAGCCCTCGGTCGCAAGGGGATTTGTAGCAAATAAATGTCAAGTTAGTTGCAAAAAACTCTTCTTGTTCAGTTCTGGAACATACGTGGGCAACGTCGAAAGAAAACTAACGAGACTCGCTTGGCGTGTGGCTGCTTCCTCCAGCATCCCAGATCCTAGGGATGCTCTGGGTTTGTACAGTCGTGAGCTTCAGGAGCACGATCCAGCTCGTTAGCGTGAGCTGGGCAACAGGCAGCAGGGCCCGCAGGGTCCGAGTCCGGGGAGGGCATAGCAGCCAACCACCACCCCATCTCTGCATCCGAAAGGCACTTGAGGAAGAATTTGCTAAAAGCATTTGTGGTTTGGGGTTTTTTTTCACGTGCCCACTTACCATATTGCTCACTATTCTCTCTGCTTATGGCTCAGGGGGGCAGGGGGGCTGGCATTGTCATTTAAAAGGCAATATTCATTTAGATTCTTATTTGAAGGCGGGAACAAAAGTGTATTTTCTAATTGCATCATCTAAAAACTGACGGATTGTCAGAGCAAAGTATGATGGTCATATGCCAAAAATAGGAAGCTGTAGGATGAAATCTGAAGGGAAGCTCATCTCCTTCCTTACTCCTGTCAGGATACCCGGAGAGCCACAAACACGTCGAACACCCACACCCGTGCTGAACATCCAAAACGCAGCGCTGAGCATTTTGCATCAGGTTTAATCCCCCATAGCGCAGGCTGTTCATGATTCAACACGATGGTTTCCCTGTGCTGCAACTCGCTGCTCTCACAGGAAACCAAGACAGACACAGTCCCGATCAGGCGAGGAGATGAAACTCTGAGAAGAGGCGACGTTCTGTGGAGCGAAGCAGCCGCACACCTCCTGCCCATGAGTCACGGGATGCGGTTCCAGCGGTCCTCGGTGCACTGGGTGAGACGGAGGCGATCTGCCGAGCTGTGCGAGTGGAAGCTGAAAACCAAGCCTTGGTCTAAGTTTAGGGAGACGCAGGCTGGTGGTGGGGTCTGGAGTCCGAGGTTCAGACTAACCAGAGATGAAAAGGCCACGAGAAGCAGCTCTTGGAGAAGGGTGAGGGATTGGTGATGGTGAGCAAAGGAGGGATGGAGAGAGAGAGAAACAAGGCAGATTAACTCAGCAGTAAACCGTGGCTTTGCACTGTTTAAACCTACCCGCGGGAGTGCTCGGTGACGACATCTTCTCCAAGGAGATGCACTTTGCGTTTGAAGAGGGTATCGAGGAGCAATGCGTGGGCAGGGAGATGTCTTGCGGCAAATCGGTGCTCCGGAGAGTTTGCGTTGGGCTGGGGGATCCTTCCCCGCACACAGAGGTCCATAACGCCAGTCGGCAGCCCCCCCGGCCGCCCTCGCTCAGGCCACGGGGGTGCCGAGCTGCTTTCATTGCCCAGCGCCCCAGAGTCGACCGAGTCGGTCTCAGCCTGCAGGGTGAGGACGTTCTTGAGGGACGTGGCGGCGCGGGGTCCACTGTTGGAGTTCCTCATGGAGAGGGAGATGGCGCTGGCATGGGGCTCCCCCGAGCGCCGGCAGCAGGGCAGGTATTTGCCCATGGCCCTCTTGAAGTCCCTCATGAAGAGCGGGTATATGATGGGGTTCATGGTGCTGTTGCAGTACCCGAGCCAGGTGAGCACATCGAAGAAGCCGGCCGGGACACAGCCGCAGACTGCCTGGCGGGGGGACACAGCAAGGGTTAGCAGCGTTTCCCACCTCGGCCCCGATCCAGCACGGTTTCCCAGGCATGCCAACGTTTTCCTTCCAAAGGAACCCTTCAGAGCCCTGTCAAAAGGTTTTTCCTTGCTGTTGCTTGCCGAGGAAATTGCATCTTTTGTCCCAGAGGCTTCCCAGCAAGACCAGCTGGATTCAAAGTGAAAACCTTTTGAAAACCCAACATAAAAAACCCCCGTACGTGCTTACCTGCGTGACGTTGGTGACGAAGAAGGGGAGCCACGCCACAAAGAACATGCCGAGGAGGATGCCCAGCGTCAGGCTGGCCTTCAGCGCCTTCTTGCTGTGCTTGTTGGCGAACCTCCTGCTCTCGCTGCTGGCCGCGGGCTGGCTCAGGGCCTGGAGGACCTGCAGAGGGAGATGGGGCGGTGAGTGAGGGCTTCTCCGCGGGCCGGAGCTGCCCGCACCGGTGCCAGCCTCCCACCCGAGGGAAGTGGCATTTGGGGCTGGAAATCCTGCAAAAACCCCGCCGTTATTTGCCTTCTTGCAAGGGGCAGGAGGATGACACACGCCGCAGGCCCTGAACCATAAATCAGGAAGAGGAAGTAATAGAAACCCTCAACATTGAGAGTATTTTTAATTTTTTTTACTGTAAAATAGGGGCTTTATCATTAGGCCGCTTCTTTTATAGAAAAATCCAACTCAGTCAACGTTTTGGTCAGAATAAAGCATGCCCTAAAGAGGCAGCTCTAGCTGCTGATTAGAACAGCAAACTAATTATATTTTTAAAAGCAGGACGTCAAACATTTCAGCCTACAAACACCATAACTAACTCAGTCCTCTATCCACACTTGCAATCTAAAATTATTATCTCAGCCCTCTGCCACAATTAAACAAGACCCGGTTACCACTCAGCTTCCTGCCCCAAAAGAGAACAAAAATCCGGTTAAAAAGATGAAACTCGAGGGTTCCCGGGCTGACACCTCGCTTTCAGCTCGTCCTGAGCCGATTCGGGGCTCCCAGGACTCAGCTGCAGTCCAGGGGTGGATGCTGGTGCTCCGCAGCAGAGCAAAGCACCTGAGCATCCCCCGGCCCCTGAGCGGGCGGCACGGGGGCCACAGAGCTGCGGCAGGTTGTGTTTGTAGAGTCCAAAAACCTGGCATCCAAGGGGGGAGATACCCATTTTATGATATTGCCTGTTTATTCTTTGATTCTTGTTTTCCTTTTGAAAGTCTGGTACATCTCATCACGTGTGGGAGAGCTGGCCAGGTCAGAGAGTCCTGGCTCCTTTCTTCAAAGAGAGAGAACAAACTAAATCACAGTATTTAAAGGCAATTAAGTTTGTCTTTTCCCTGTAGGATATGAGGTCAATAAAGCCTGTTTCAGGGAATTAAAGCTGTTAGATTTAGTGGCAATTACCTTCTCCCGGAGAAATACACACAAGCACAGCCACGTTTTGGTTATAAAAGCCACACACGCTGGTTTAACCCACAGTCGCTGTAAGGAGGTATTTTGCGGTTCCCATTATAGACCAGGAAACGAAAATAGAAGCTGGCTGTTCAAAATAAGGTGCTCTCCAGAACCCAGTATTTGCTATTACTTAAACTCCTTCTCCCCAATATGTCTCACGCCCACCATGGCCAAGATTTACGAGTGGAAAGTCAGATCAGATTAAAACCCTCTGGGATGACGCTAGCCAAGAGGGGGGCGAAACTGCATTTATTTTGTGCCGCTGAGCATTTTTGCCTGTATCTTAATTTGTTTCTCTGCTTCTGCTCATGCTGTTTCTGTGCTCCTGAGCAGCTTAAAAGCGCACCATCGCCGGGACGAGACTCGGGGCACCTCCGAGGACAGCAGGGAGGTGGATGTTGCCCAAAATCTCCCTCCCTGCGGTCTGGTTGCCAGAACCCTTTGCTGGCTCCAGCCCCGAGGCCGCCTGGAAGGCAGAAACACCCCAGGCACTCAAACCTCGGGGCTCTGCAAGGAGCAGCGTGGCTGTGGCCACCTTACCTGCGGTGTGGTCTCATCGGTGGTGGCCGTGGCTACGTTGGAGGCGAGGGAAGCCACCTGCACTGCTTGCTTGCGGGCTGCCAGGAGGATGCGACAGTAGGTGAAGGAGATGGCGGCGGATGGAAGGAAGAAAGTCAGGCAGGAAGCCACCAAGGCGTAGGGCAAGCTGACCAGCAGCCGGCACTGGTCCTCGTCCCCCCGGGAGGTGACGTTCGGTGACCGGACCTCGAAATCCAGCTCATGCCAACCCATCTTGATGGGCAGGAAGGAGGCCAGCGCAGCCAAGGTCCAGGTGGCCAGGATGAGCCAGAGGGCTCTGCAGGAGGTCATCCGCAGCTTGTATTTGAGGGGGGAGATGATGAGCAGGTAGCGGTCCAAGCTGATGACGCAGAGGTTGAGGATGGAGGCACTGCAGCACATGACGTCGAACGAGTACCAGAGGGAGCACAAGTCGCCCCGCAGCACCCAGCGGCCGTAGAGCTGGTTGAGCATGGCCGGGGGCATGACCACCACCCCCACCATTAGGTCAGACATGAAGAGGGACACCAGGAAGTAGTTGGAGGTGTTACGGAGGGAGCGCTGGGTGACGATGAGGAGGATGAGGAGGAAGTTCCCCGCCGTGGTCAGCAGGATGATGAAGCAGAGGAAAGCGGCCACCCAGCTGCTCCCCACCAGCAGCGAGCGCTCCCCCAGCACGCTGGCATTGGGGGACCCCAAGTCACCCTCCATGAGGAGCCAGGCGACAGGGCTGGCTCTGGAGCTGGTGGGACCTTCTCCACCTGCGACTATGCTAGGTGATCATCGCCGGAGCCAGCTCCAGGGGAGGAAGTACCATCTCTCTCTCTCTGCTCGGCATCCGTCCTCCCTTCTCCTCTCCTCCTCCTCTCCCTCTCTTCCCCCACTCTCTCTCTTCACTGGCAATCAGGGCAGAGTGACATTCCCAGGAGCCGATCAGCAGTAGCAAGGTTCCCCTCCCTGTTACTCACAGCCAGGCATTTCCTCGTTCCTGCGAATCCCCCAGCGCTGGGATGTCCCTGGACACTGCTTCTGGATGCTGGGGATGCTCTGGATGCCAGGATGCGTGAGATGCCAGGGATGCTTTGGATGCTCTGATGCTCTGGATGTGCTGGACCAGGGAATAATCTGGACCCCAGGATGCTCTGGATGCTCTGGGTGCTGGGATGCTCTGGAGCTCAGGATGCTCCAGGTCACAGGGATGCTCTGGACTCCAGAATACTCCAGATGACAGGGATGCTCTGGACCTCGGGATGCTCCAGGTGACAGGGATGCTTTGGACCCCAGGATGCTCCAGATGCTGGGGAAGCTCTGGACCCCCCAGCCAGGCTTGGCTCCCTGCAGAGCTCTGTTCCCTGGGGCCCCACTGAGCTCCTCCGTGCCCCAGCCCTGCTGCTGCTGCAGCCAGAGGCAGCAAGCAGAGCAGAGCAGCCCTGAGGCGAGCACAGGGATGCTCCCAGCCAAGCTCGCCGGAGAGGAGGGAGCAGCAACACGCCGGAGCGTTGTAAGGGGCCTGTTCCCTGGCCGAGGTGCGTCCAGCGTGGGGGGGGGGTGAGTGAGGGTGTGGGTGTGCAGGTGAAGCCAGACTTTTACCTGCTGCTCCGTGATGCACAGAAAAGGATGCAGAAATGTCGATTCGGAGGAGGTGGGGCTGGGGGGGAGAGGAGGAGATGAAATGAAATGCTAATGAAAACAGGGATCTGGTCTAAACTCCACAAAGTGGCAGCCAGAGAGTTCCCTTTTCCACCTTAAAGAGACAGCCAGCACCGCGCTCTGCCTCCCGTC